ACGTTAAGTTATGATGGCCCTTGGTTTCGTAGTACCATTCAGGAGAGGGGTGTGTGAGTTACTGATAAAGGTATCGGGGCACGATTCCCGGAAGAGTCCAGTGTTTCTTGGTCACCACGCTCAGCTGCCGCGTCGCAGAGATCCACGAAACTAAATTTTAAGTTGGTCGTGGGGTGTCTCAGCCGGGGGTAAAGCTGCCACGGACGCGAAACTGAAAGTATAGGAACATTACCTTTTTTTTTGACTTGTTCTCCAAATGTTTTGTGGACTAGCCGCATTGACCCTGATATTCCGTTTATTGCTGGTACAAATCTTGTAGAGTGACAGTAGAGGTTTTATCTTCTTCCTGCCACTAAGTGTTTAATCCCGCGGATTTTAACGTGAAGTATGTGTGGAATCATGTATTTAAGTAGTCTATCGCAGTGGTATTCAACCTGGGGTACGCGTACCCCGGGGATACGCGAAGACATTTTAGGGATACGTGAAATTTAAAAAAAATGATTATTTTATGATAAACACTGAATAATCAGTAATGTAATTTATTTAATTTATTTTAGATGTAGATTATATACTATGTATAACTTGAATTATACACCAACAACTTTGGGGGTACAAAGTTGAAGAGAAATTATATCTGGGGGTACGCGAACTAGAAGGTTGAATACCACTCGTCTATCGTAACGTAGAAGTATGTTGTTGCAAACCTAGCTGTTAACACAACGTGTATTGTTAATATGTTTTTTCCTTTGTGTTTAGTTCGTCGCTTGCCATGTCGAAATGGTTTCGTGCAAGAACTCTTGAAGTCCAGTGGTCAGTATATGTACCACCAGCTGTAATATTAAACAACTGTGTTTTTCCATATGATTCTCGGAATGAACGGCGATAATTTCCTTAAACGTCATTAACCATTTGATCTTCTTAATGGAAGAGTGTTTTCTTTGCCTTCCGGAGTATGAGAATTATTTGGATGAACTTTGGGTTTCAGACTGATATAGACAAACCAAACGTCTTTTGCGCGTTGTGTGGAGGTCTGGCACGGTCGACAAGTAGGCTTTATGCTCTCGTGAACGTACAGAAGGACATCTGTCCACGGAAGTACAGTCACGAAACTTAACGTAAGTCCCTTCAAGCGTGACGGCTCTAGGGTTCTGTCGCCTATCTAGACCCCTCCCCCCCCAACGTGAGATCTTCAAGCAGTCTGATATGATACAATCGACGTATGCCATGAATCGTGGGTTTGGTTCTCTTCAACGTTTATAAACCGAAAACAGCTCATTGTTATGGTGGACCAACAGTAAATTGTGTATATTCTTTTTGGTTTTTGTATGATTTTGTTCTGTTTATACGGACGTCTCAGCGAGCTCCATAACAAAGAGTCAATACGTAGAAGCTAGTTGTCGTTCTGCTATAGTCAAGAAATTCCTTGTCTTTTGTGGGATCTGGAGGGTTTATTACCGTGTTCATAACAGCCTTCCAGTGGTCCCTGTCCTCCTTCGCATTTCTGTTGAGTCTTTTGGAAACCGGTTCACGCTTTCTGTATCTTGACACAAGTATCGCAAGGTTTACTTCAGTTTAAGATCAACTTATTTACGTGCTATAATTAATTCGTCTTATAAATCAGTTGAGAAATGAAGGGCTTTTCACTAGCCGAAGTTACGTACATGTCCTTCCAGTCCTTTGTTGACTGAACTCCTGCGTTTGAGGATTGGTGTGTAAGTGTGCGCTATCGAAAGCGTTGCGGAAACTCTGGCATCTATCTGTTGACCGTTCGATTTAAAATGTTTCTTGTACGTAGATAGCGCTTTCTTTTCATGTCGGCCCCAAGGTTGTATTCCCCAGTTCCTGTTCTGCGTTCTGTGATAATTGAGGCGTTTCGAAGGTCTAATCATTTCTGGCGTCTGTCTCTGAATAAGGGCGGTATCGCACTAGGATGCCAACGGGAGGCCATGGCGCAGCTGCCAGCATCTCGGCCAAACTCAATGCATTAATTTAGTAGTCATATATCGCACCTGGCATCGCTGCCACGGCCAAGTCCAAATCAAGATCACATGACAGTCTGACCAGTCCATTGACGTCCGTGCGTGAATGTGATTTTGTGTATTTCTGTTTCTTCCAAACATGGATAATTTCGACACCGAAAGATTGATAATTGAA